AACCACACCTCCACCCCCTTTGTGGTGGGCCCTAGGGACATGCCCTAGCACTGGGCCAGTCAGTCTCCCTCGTGTTAGTCTTTGGAGAAACAGTGGTACCATTAAGTTCTGATGCCCAAACCCAGACTATCCTAACTGAAGCACTGTGGAACCTGTGGTGATCAAATTCCTCTTTAACTGTAAAACACCATCCAGTTCCAGGATTACAGGAGCAGATGAGACGCGAGACAAAAGCTAAAGTTGTGACACACATATCAATAACATGTAAGTTAGCCTGTGCAAGTCTGCAGCCAGCATGAAGGAAGCTGAGGCAGAAGTATTTTGAGGAAGTTAGCCTGTGTGTATGTACTGAGACCATATTTTCTGTTGTTTTTTTTTTTTTCCTAAAGGGGTGAGGGAAATACAGCAAATGGTAAAGATATCACTTAAAGCACTTTACAAAGACAAAGACATTGATACTTCACAACATGGCAAGATGCAAGCCACCTGGCTCCAGGGACTGATTTTTTGTTTACTTCATTTCTGGAGACAGGATCTCATAGCTTAGGCTATCCTCAAACTCATTATGTATCCAAGGACTTTTTTTCTTTTCTTTTTTCTTTTTTCCAAGACAGGGTTTATCTGTAGCTTTGGTGCCTATCCTGGAACTAGCTCTTGTAGACCAGGCTGGCCACGAACTCACAGAGATCCACCTGCCTCTGCCTCTCCATTAAAGGCCACCACCGCCAGGCTCCAAGGATGGTCTTTAAATAATCTACCTCCCTTGTGCTGGGATTACAGTCATGTGGACCACTATGCCTGGCAGGCTGTGATCTGAATCCCTAAACTCTTGTTACTTTCTGGCCAGAGTGATGTTATTATTATCCATGTATCATCAGTGTCAAAAGTTACTTCCTCCTTTAGTCCAGTTCCGGCACAGTTAGCAGTGAAGGGCGTTTCTAGGTAAAAATGATGGAATGATGGGAGCCCCGTTAACCAGAGGGCTTCCTAGGCTAGAGGATGTTTGGGTTGGGGGCACGAGGGGGTAAGGTCCTGAATTCCTGCATCAACTAGGGCAATCGCATTTGGCTTCCTTCAGCGAGGATGGGATGATGTCCCAGACAGCTATTAAGGGCAGAAGACACCTCTTCCTGGTGGCCCTATTCTTGGTTCAGTTGTTACTCAGCAAACCTCAAAGGAAGGGTAGCATCTTGGCTGGGGGTAACAGATAGGGGAGGGGGGGGGAAGCAGGAAGGACTATGGGTGTCACAGAGAGAGGTGGAGTGGCATAGAGATGAGTAGGTACATGGGAGAGAAGACACGGAAATGGGGAGCTATATGCATATGACAAGAAATACGGACAGTCTTAGGGGAGAGGGAAGGACTTCTCCACCGAAAGGGTCATATTAAGTAGTGGTCAGGGAAGGGTGTCATTAGGCTGGAGCCACAACTGGGTACAGCAATGTGCAACCCGGAGGGGCTTCTGCCCCCTAAAGTAAAGCTGCCGGGTCATGCAAGGTGCCTGAGTCCCGCGTGGGTGCCGACAGAGCGGGGCCGTGAGTGTCCCCGCCCACTGCTGGGGTGAGGAGGGCGGGAGGCTAACAGCCTACGGAGGGCGGGATCTGGACCTGCCTCATCTCGCCCCAGGCTCCGCGCACGATCCCCCCCCCCCCCCCGCCCGCCTCCCCCTCCCGGGCACGGGAAGGAAAGGGAAGGGAGGAGGGCTAGGCGGCCGGACGCTGGGTTTTCCCCAGTCTCTCCAGGAGGAACTGGGATTCTGGGGGTACAGCCGGGCAGGATTCAGCTCTATGGGGTCCTCTTACTTTTTCAGGAAGCGCAGGCTCCTCCCCACGCGCGTGGCACCCACGTGGAGCTTTCTCACCCTTACTGACTCGGTTTTCTCTTTTGGGTTTTGCAGACAGGCTCTCCCCTAACTTTTAGCCGCTCCCCTAGGCTCGACTCCTGGGGCTCAGCCACTCCCTTCCACGCCCAGGCCAGGGGCGCTCGCCACTCACGCCTGGATGGCATGGTATCCCTGCTCCACCCGCCCGCCCACCTCGCGGGGCCATCTTCCCACGCCAGTCTCCCCTCTTTTATAACTCTTTTCCAATGACCCGGTATTCTAGATTTCTTGGGGACTCGCTCGCTTCCTCTACTGGGCTCCGCTTGCCCGCTCGTGCTCTTTTACGTCCCTAAGCAAAACACCCGTGACACCTCCGGGCTCATTTTCCGCACCCTCTCCGTTCCTCTCTCTTTAGATTCCTCTCTCAACAACTTCGCTTCCCTTTTTTACTTAACTTATCACTTGCAACCCCACAGTGACTCCACAAATTCCCCCTATCCAGCGTGCGCCTGGCCCCTTCTGGAGATGAGTCTACTTGAGAGTTTATCTGGCAGTTCTAGGGTCCTTATCCCCTAGTTTTTGTCCTTGAATCTCTTCTCTCCATCTCATGACCCGATCTAGCGTCAGCTTTCCACGCTGCCTCTCCTTTCCCAAATGCTGGGCGCCTTCCATTCTCCTGAGCCGGGCTCTACCTTTCTGAAAAGGGAACCCAATGAGTCTTGCATTTTTAAGCACTGTAAGAAGAAACTTAAAACAACAAAATATGCCAAATGTTCCTTCTAAAAAAGACTGTCCCCACGATCTTGCTCCCCTCTAGAAGAGGTCCACTTTTGCTCACTGTCCCTTCCTCTCCAAGACCAGGCACCTGGGGTAGAGACTAAGCGCAATCCTCCTTGGGATACCCAAACATTCGTTCCCGGAGCCCCCAGGAGTCCCCTTCCTCCAGCCAGTTTCCTCAGACGGTAATTTCCTCCCAGTGACCCCAGCACTCCGGCGCCCCCTGCGGGCTCCCTCCCGGCTCCCTGGCCCCCCTCCGAGCTCACGGTTGGCGCGATCCACCATTAGCACGCGGGTGACCTCTTTGGCGTAGTAGTCCGCCTCGGGCTCGGGCTCCGGGTCGGCGCTCTCGCCAGCTACCCGGTCGCGGGTGCTGTTGTATAAAGCAAGCACGGCCTCGGGCAGCGGGCCGGGCGGCACCTCCCCCTGGCTCGGGGGACTGGCGAGCCGTAGTTTGGACAGGATCTGACCACGGATGGCTTCGATGCGCTTCCGCTTCACCAGCTCCATGTCGATGGTCTTGCAGGTGGAGAGTCCCGCGGCTGGCCTCCCGGGCGTCAGCACTAGAAGCCACGGGAGCGGGAGCAGAAGCGGCAGTAGCCGCAGCCCCGAGGGCGGCATGGGAGAGGCGGCGCCCCGCGGCAATGCGGAGAGCGCGAACCCCGGGCAAAGGTGGGATGCGGAGGCCCCGCCCCTGCAGGGTTTGGGGGGGGGTCTCCCAAGGAAAGGTAGCAGAGAGTCCTGAGTAATTTGAGGTTGAGGGAGAAAGCAGCAGGAGTCACAGTGAGGCTGACACAGGGTGTCTCAGTATGCCACCGGGGTAAAAAAAAGAGATGAACACTCTCTCTGGGACCAAAAAGTGAATGTTCTTAAATAGGGAAGCTACTGCCAGCAGGTCTGGGGGAGATCACCTTCCTGGGGGAGCGTGGGTCCTGGGATGCGGGGGACTCAGGAGGCAGGCTGGGGGGAGGGCGGCGTGCAAGGGGTGCGCCCCGGTTTTGGGGTGAAGTCTTCGCGGGAGGCGGGGCTTGCGGCTCTCGAGGGCTGGTCCGGGATAGGGGCGTCTGAGGAACTCCGTGTAGCAAACAAACGTCCACGACGGTGAGCAGGGCGGTCTGGAGTTCCTAGGTTCTGCCTCTGTGGGACAGCGCAGCGCCAAGCGGTCCCCGCGTCTCCAGCTCGCGGTAGCAGCGGAAAAGTCTCAAAACTTTTTTCCTCTTCTCCCAACCAGCTCGTCCCTCCTCCCACTCCTCCTCCCCCTCCTCCCCGCAGTGGCGGCGGCGGCTAGACTCAGATTCTGGGGCCTCGGACGGCTCCTCGCCTGCTCTTTTGCCTGCTGGGGCGGAGGTGGCTTCGCGGACGGCTCAGAGCCGGGGGTGCCCCGAAGGGGCGTCCCCCCTGCCCCGGCCGGGGGCCTCGCTGTCTGGAGGATCCGCGGCGGGAGGAGGAGGGGGACGGCCTGGGGCACGAAGGGCGGCGGCGGCGGGGACCGGC